GTGACCCCTGCTGCCGGCTACTCGGGGGTTTGCTGGACGTGTGACACCTAAAACAAAGGGGGTCGAAATTAAAGGCGGTGAGTGCGGACCGATGTCTCCGTACGGCGACAACGGAAGGGAACCGCGCTCTGCCCGCAGCTCTCCTTCACTCCTGCGGGCGCGGAGACGCATCTCCGTCCTTTTCCCTTCCTTTTCCTTTCTCCTTTAACGTTTCCCCTTGAGAAAACACTCTCTTTTTAATTTATCATCATTATTTTCATTATTATTCCCTTTTTATTGTTTTTTTTTTTTCTTATTTATTATTATTATTATTCTGCAGTGGAATGACCATAAAACAAGCGACCGTGGAGGACAGATGAAGCTGTGAGTTATTCACCAGATGCTGCGTGCGTGGACATCCCCTCGGCCCCACCGCTGGGTCGGGGTGGAGGCCCGGAGCCGTTCCTGAGATTTCTGGTGCACGCCGGGGGGGCTCGAGCTCCTCGATCTCTCTAGATATTATTTTCTCCTATTTTTGATCTGAAGCGATAGTAAAGCTGAGGTCCGGTTCGGGCTGCACGCCGCTGCCTGTTTGGTAACGTTTGGCAAATAAAACACGAAAAGAAAAAAAAAAAAAAAAAAAAAAAGGAGGGGGGGGTGGAGGGGGGGGAGGAGGGTAAAAGAAAGGAAAGAAAGGGAGAACGCTTCCACAGTCCTACACGGGTGTTCCGCCACCATCAGCCACCGCCACCAACCACGGCCGAGCACGACGTCCCCAAAGCCGCGGACGGACGCTCCTCTCCGGGTGCAGCGTTGGACCCGCTAGAAGGGCAGCCCCCAGGTGGCCAGAGCTGCCCCCAGTGCCCCCAGCAGCACGGGCAGCGACGGCGGCAGCAGGGACGGGGCTGCTCCGCTGCCGCCTCCGCACAGTTCGAACAAACTGCCCTGGAAATCGAGGTTTTTGGATTCCCGTCTCAGTTTCTCCCACAGGTCTGTCGCTCCTTCCTGGCAATCCGTGAGCGCTGTGAGGGTGCAGGCGTGGAAATCGTCCCAGTACCTGCAGGGGGAGGGAGAGCAGCCTCCGTCAGAACGGGCACGAAGCACCCCCCTCCATCAATCCTAGTGTCGGGGGGAGCCGAGAGTCCCCTATCTCCCGCCCTACAAGCTCCGGGCTGCCCCACTCTTTGAGCTGTGTGGCTTTTCGGGGTCCCTGACGCCGGAAATCTCTGTACTGGGAGCCCTCGGCTGGTCAGGAGGTATGGGGGACCCGGCGTTAGAAACCCCCGGGAGGGCTCTGGCTGAAGGGTCAGGAAAGGAGGTAGGAAGGATGAGGATGAGGAAGGAAGGAGCAGCTCCTCCCGGAAGCCGCTCACAGACCCGGGGACAGGCGGTGGGGACTCCCCCGTGCTGTGCCAAGGACCCGCGGGCGGCAAAGGGTTTCTCCTCCTCCGAGGTAATTCCCGGTCCTTCCCACGCTCTTTCCCATCTCCTTTTATCCACTTACTCCCACGTACCGCCTCACCCTCCCTCTTTCCTCCGCACAACCGGGGTGACAACCCCCCTTTTGTCACTTTTCTCCCCTTTTCTCAAGGCCTGCAAATTCGTATCCTTCCTTCCTTTTCCTTCCTCCCTTCCTCCCTTTCTTCCTTCCTCCCTTCCTCCCTTCCTCCCTTCCTTTTCCTTCCTCCCTTCCTTTTCCTTCCTTCCTTCCTTCCTTCCTTCCTTCCTTCCTTCCTTCCTTCCTTTTTTTCCCTCCCTCCCTCCCTCCCTCCCTCCTTCTTCCCCTCCCTCCCTCCCTCCTTGCAAGCAGTCCCACAGCCTCTAATTTATGAGCACTCCACGCTGGTTGTAGATTCCCAATGTTTGCTACATTTGTAATAAATAATGAGCTACTGAGAAGCTGGAATCTGAGAGTGTGCCTCTCCTGCAGTATTTCTGCTGTCACTGCATCTCCCAGAGGAAAATTCAGTCTCTCCCCATCTTCTTTCAATGCACATCCCAGGGCAAGGGCAGTGGGAGGTGATGGGGAAGGATCCTGCTCTGAGAAGGTTCTGTAGGTCGAGGACCACCTCTGGTCCAGCACCCCGTGGTTAAAGGACTCTTGTAACCTCACAGTCCTGAGCATTTATCCTTCGTGCAGGACACAGCATGGTGCCAGATATGGAAGGTGCAGGAAAACTCGTGCTCGACTCCCAAATTACTGGGCATAAAGAGAGGAGAAAGGAGTGCGGTGCTCTTCTCTTTTCTTCCTCCTTTCCCTTTTCCTCCTCCTCTTCCTTTTCCTTTTCTCTTTCCTTCTGCTTTTCCTTTTACCCCTCCCTTTCCATCCCTTCATTTTCCCATCACACTTTCCCATTTCCCATCTGATTCCCAATTCATTTTCTGATTTTCACGGGCCAACTACAGGAAAAAAAAAAAATTCCAAATATATTTGTATCTAATGACCTTATCTTGTTGCTAAATATTTGTCCCAGCAGGGTGAGTTTGTGCCAGAAAACAGCAGCCAGGTGACAAGAGATGCCCTGTAGATACCCTATCCTAATAGACTTTTCTTCAAATAACGAAAATCCCCTTTTGTGCCCAGCAAGTGGGATCCCTTCATTTTTGCCTCTTTCCTTTCCTTCCCTCTGGGCCAGGAGCGGGGCTGGAGCTGCTAGCATAGGAAGGGAAGGGAAGGGAAGGGAAGGGAAGGGAAGGGAAGGGAAGGGAAGGGAAGGGAAGGGAAGG